GCGGAGGCCACTGGCCCGCGGGGGCGGCGCATCCCCTGGAGGGAGGGCTCCCGGGGTCTGCGCACAGGGGGGCAAACACCGCAGAGCGCCTCGGGGCAGGGTCCCGGCTCTGTCACTGCGGCTCCCACCACCCCACCACCCCGGGATGACGCGCCCTGCCGCTCCACCAGGCGGAAGGGACCCAGGTGACCACGTGCTCATTTGGGCCCCCGTTGGAGGAGGAATCCCACACAAACAGATACGGGTTAGAAGTCCAGCTTTAACCTCGAATCCCCACCTGGAGCCTGTGGAGAAAGGCCTTTTTTTGCAGGTTCTTCAAGGGGAAATAAACGGACTCGTGTTCCCTCTTTAGGCCTTTATATTCTCAGATAACTGCCCATCCTCTTTGGTCTACAGCCTGAATGTTGGAACACAGCCTTCCCTTAGACGCCCAGTCTAGTCCAGGCTTCGCAATTCACATCTCCTGTCCCTGTCCCTGCCCCCTACCTCCCCGTCTGCAGCTGTCACTCCGCATCTGTTTCCTCTTCCGACCCCAGTGCTGCTCACACAGCCATGTGCAGCCCGCAGCCCCACACCGTCCACGGATTAGTACCTGTCAGGTGACTTCTAGACCATTTCAAAATGAACGGTTTTTAAAAAGCATGTTTGAATCACACATGCCTAAGATCTTAGCTCTGAGGGGAAAAGGAGCTCAATTAAGATCTATCAAATACTGAGATAACACAGGTGAGGTGCATATGACATCCACTCTGACTGCTGGGCTTACTATCCTGCAACAATAAATACTGGGTTCTTTTTTAGCTGAAGCCATTAAATAAAACTTTCTTTTGGTCCATCTTATTTTTTTAATTGAAATATATTTGACATGCAATAGTGTGTAAATTTAAGGTGTACAATATGTTGACTTAATACATTCATATACTGTACTATGATTACCATTATAGCAATAGTGAGCATGTCATGTCATTCTTTTTTGGGTGGTTAGAATAATTAAGATATAATCTCTTGCAAGTGTAATTATTACAACACAATATTGCTTCTATTTCACTATGTTGTGTATTATATCTCATTGCAAGTCTGTCCCCTTAAAAAGCATCTCTCCTACCGTTTTCGGTCTATCTTGGAACGATGCTGGAAGATACTGTATGGCTATGGGGACCTATGCCATTACTCTATGTGCACCCTTTAAAACTTTTCCACTCAATTCTGTGCGAGGTGCTAAGAGATAAACTGGTAGGTTTTGTTTGTTTTTTAGTCACAAATATTTACTGAGCATTCTCTGTATGACAGGCACACAAAAAAGTAAGCAGTGGGGATAAACAACTGGATAAAAGAGATATCAGACATGGTCTGATACTAACCCAGTGGGAGAGAGAGACACCAACCAAATAATCACACAAGTAAAGGTAAGACCGCGATTCTGGTGAGGGCTACAAGAAGAGGTCCTGGGTGCTGTGAGGTCACCTGCGGAGGGCCCAGCGGAGGGGCTTCCTGTGACATGAGGACCAGGCTGAGGCTGCTTGGAAGGAAACAAGAGGAAAGGAGGGGAGAGAATGCCAGGCAGCAGCAAGAGCGGGTGCACAGTCCCTGTGGTAGGAAGGTGCCTAAGGAGCAAGCGGAGACTGAACCATGGCCACGTGGCTGAATAGGGCAGTGAGCAGGAAAGGAGGGGGGTGAGGCAGGAGAGGAGGGAGGTGAGGCAGGAGAGGAGGGGGGGAGACAGGAAAGGAGGGGGGTGAGGCAGGAGAGGAGGGAGGTGAGGCAGGAGAGGAGGGGGGGAGACAGGAAAGGAGGGGGGTGAGGCAGGAGAGGAGGGAGGTGAGGCAGGAGAGGAGGGGGGGAGACAGGAAAGGAGGGGGGTGAGGCAGGAGAGGAGGGAGGTGAGGCAGGAGAGGAGGGGGGGAGACAGGAAAGGAGGGGGGTGAGGCAGGAGAGGAGGGAGGTGAGGCAGGAGAGGAGGGGGGGAGACAGGAAAGGAGGGGGGTGAGGCAGGAGAGGAGGGAGGTGAGGCAGGAGAGGAGGGGGGGAGACAGGAAAGGAGGGGGGTGAGGCAGGAGAGGAGGGAGGTGAGGCAGGAGAGGAGGGGGGGAGACAGGAAAGGAGGGGGGTGAGGCAGGAGAGGAGGGAGGTGAGGCAGGAGAGGAGGGGGGGAGACAGGAAAGGAGGGGGGTGAGGCAGGAGAGGAGGGAGGTGAGGCAGGAGAGGAGGGGGGGAGACAGGAAAGGAGGGGGGTGAGGCAGGAGAGGAGGGAGGTGAGGCAGGAGAGGAGGGGGGGAGACAGGAAAGGAGGGGGGTGAGGCAGGAGAGGAGGGAGGTGAGGCAGGAGAGGAGGGGGGGAGACAGGAAAGGAGGGGGGTGAGGCAGGAGAGGAGGGAGGTGAGGCAGGAGAGGAGGGGGGGAGACAGGAAAGGAGGGGGGTGAGGCAGGAGAGGAGGGAGGTGAGGCAGGAGAGGAGGGGGTGAGACAGGAAAGGAGGGGGGTGAGGCAGGAGAGGAGGGGGGGTGAGACAGGAAAGGAGGGGGGTGAGACAGGAGAGGAGGGGGTGAGGCAGGAGAGGAGGGAAGTGAGGTCAGACTTGAGAGGGAGGTAGCAGCTAGACCACTCAGTCCTGCCTGGGCACATGAAGATTTTGCCTTTAGCCTAAGAGTAACAAAAGCCATTGGCTGAGATGGGAATGGCAAAGGTGACTTATGTTTGTAAAAGATGACTCAAATGATGCTAGGGAGGAGAGTGGAAGTAAGGACGCCATCCTAAAAAGACATTTAACCTAATTCCGGCAGTGAGAAACACTTATGAGCAACTGAACGTAACATAAAACAGGGGAGTAAGCCCTGTCACTCAGAGAAAAATTAATGGAAAGAACAATGACTGAAGGATTAGAAAAATGGGTTCTAACAGCATCCCTGACACCAAACCCCTGCGTGGGAGGCAGAGCAAGGTTAGGGAGGCAGTGCAGGCACCAGACCTCGGCCGGGTCACTCTAGGGCTGGCCATCCCTGCTGCTTACCATCTCTGTGCCATGTTTTCCTAGTAAGTAAAATGCAGGTGACAGCTATCTTATGGGGCGGGGGTATTTGGGAGGGTTAAATGGTAATTTATGTTAAGTGACCAGTTAAGCAACACAGCATACACTGTGTGTGTGGCTGCTATCATTACATTACAATATGATCATAGGTGAGTCGTTTTCTGGGTTTTTCAGTTCTTCAGCAAAGGGAGGGGTTACCCTAGAAGACTCCGAAGCTTCTACTAACTCTGAAAGTCCTGTGTTTAAGAAGTACAGACCAGTGTGGGCTGGGGGTGTGGAGGAAGAAGTTGGGCCTCGAAGCCCAAATAAGTAGACTTTGATGGATTGGAGGTGATATGGTGGCCCAGGAGAGGCAAGTCCTAGGAGGCTTAGGTGATGTGGCCGACTCCGGCAGGTGCTTACCCGGAATCCACTCCCTCTTCTGTCTCACCGCTGATTCTGTTTGGGGCAACAATGTGGCCACTAAAAATACTTCCCCACCCTCCCTCGCAGCTGTGTGGTCATATGGCCCTGTGCACTCCAGGGAGCTGCAAGTGGAAGTCTCCTGGGTGCAACTTCCAGAAAAGCTACTGTTTTCCTGATAAAAAGGACAACTCAACTGGTACTGGGTTTGCCTTTTATCCTCCCCCCTTTCTTCCTGCCTGGGTCACAGAAGCAACACCTGAAGGTGGAGTAACCCTCCTGCTAAAAAGGCTGACAGCTGTAACTGTGGTGGGGCAGGAGTCAGGACCTGGCCGGGGATGCCTGGCAGGAGGCCACACAGCACAGCCTGCCTCGGGGCGTCCTGCCACGCGGCCTCAGGGCATCTTGATGGCCTCTGTTAGATTCCGTAGCGAAAGCTGGGGACATGGAGAAGAGCGGATGCGCACGTTTACATAGCATCCGGGGCGCTGTGGCATGAGGGGCGGAGGGAAGCAAGCAGGATGAGGAAGGCACAAGCACAGAAAAGGATGAGAAGTAATCCAAGCAGCGGAATAAGACGGAGCCCCGGGCATCCTTGGATGGAATTCAGAGTCCGTGAATCTCTATTTTCAAAAACTTCTGAAACTTAGCAGTTCCTCCTATTATGACTGCAGGCAATACCTGTGACTGGGTTGCCAGCAGAAATAAAGCACTGTCATTCTACACGTCCTGACTGACTGCTGATGCTCACCGCCACCTGCGATGGCGGCAGCAGCTATTACAGCCACCTCTGGCTCGTCATCTGCCGCATTAGTAAAGCACGTGCCGCCATTACATCCTCCCGACCTGGGAAAAGCGGCAAAAGGAAGGGAAACCTTGCTCAGCGCATCCAATTCCCCAGACTCCGGGCCACCGGAGTAAAACCCGCACAGTCCTCCTGCGCCCGATTTCAGTGAAAACCCAGCCACGTGTCTGAGGAGGCTGCCGCAGGCGCAGGCGAGGGGTGCAGAGGCGCAGCTGTCTCAGGGTCCAGGTGCAGTTACACCGCCGTCATCATGTCTCTATAGCCTTGATTTAAACCAAAGCAGATCAAACCCCATGAAAAGACAGGCTACACTGCAGTGGAACGCTACTGCATTTTTCAAAAGCAGCTCTGAAATTCTCCTGACAAGTATTCCAAGCATTTCCTTCAACAAGGCAGGGCGCTTTGCAGTAACCACAGCAACCAGGTGACAGCATGCCTGGGGGTTTCCAGGCAGTCAAGGGGACACCTGGTTGGGGGACTTCTGAGTGGGGCCCAGGGGGCCTACACTCCCCTGTGAGAACTCTTCCGCACAGCAGTGCTGTACTCTCTGGTACAGCTCATTTTTTAAAATGTAATTAATAATATTCACAGCTAAAACTTGTAAGACAATTTTTCCACAAAGAATTTTTCTCACCCTGGCTGATGTGGGGACCAAGCCCAGATCAGTGAAGTATCTTTAAAGGTGGGGTCCCACCATGATCCTTTGTAAAGCCACCCCCCCGCCCCCCACACACACCTGGGGATTGTAACGAGCAGCCAAAGTTGAGAACCCCTGGTCTCATGGACAGGAGGCTGCTAAGCAGTCAGGAGACTCACTTTCTAGCCCCAAGTCTGCCCTGGGTTCACTGTGTGACCCCGGAAAGTCACTTACATTTCCCTGAGCTGACCAGACGAGTGGTGTGCAAACTGTCTTCCTGGTTCCGATGTGGTGCCTCAGGAAAGAGGGAGTGAGGTGAGCGCTTAAGCGATGAGTTCCTTTGACAATTCCAACCAGAGCAGCGCAGTTTTATCAGCTATCAACACCAGGGTTTTGCCCGGCTGGTATGGCTCAGCAGTTGAGCGTCGACCCAGAAACCAAAAGGTCGTGGTTCGATTCCCGGTCAGGGCATGTGCTGGGGTTGTGAGCTCGATCCCCTACTGGCCACACAGCACAGCCCACCTTGGAGGCAGTGATACACCCACTGCAAGCCCAGCATGCAGGAGGCAGCTGATCGATGCTTCAGCTGATCCTCTCTCATCGATGTTTCTATCTCTCTATCCCTCTTCCCCCACCCCCTAAAAATCAATAAAAACATACTTTTTTAAAAAAGAAAAAACACCAGGGTTTTGCAAAAGATTTTGGACAAAAAGATACAACTGTCTAAAAAAAATTTCAAAGCCCTTGAACTAGATAAAACCAAGCCCATTAAGAGATTTCAAAACGTCCAGTGTCCTCCTAGGGCAAGGAACTTAAAGTGCGTGATACACTATTGTGAGGAGGTGGGCTCTCACCACATGCTTCGACTCCAGGCCAGCCATTAGCGTGTAAGAGACCACAGACTCACAGAGACGCCCGGGGATGGGTCAAGGCACCCTTTCCATCACCTAACAAGCCTCGCACTGCAGGCAATATTCTAGATGCTTCACACACATCAGCTCAGTGGTTCTCAACCTTCCTAATGCCGCGACCCTTTAATACAGTTCCTCATGTTGTGGTGACCCCCAACCATAAAATTATTTTCGTTGCTACCTCATAACTGTAATTTTGTTATGAATCGTAATGTAAATATCTGATATGCAGGATGTATTTTCATTGTTACAAGTTGAACATCATTAAAGCATAGTGATTAATCACAAAAACAATATGTAATTATATATTCAATATGCGTTTTCCGATGGTCTTAGGCAACCGCTGTGGAAGGGTTGTTCGATCCCCAAAGGTTTCGCGACCCACAGGTTGGGAACTGCTGCATTAGCTCAATAAGCCTTCCTCCAAACCTATGAATAACCACTCTATAGGAATGGTCATTCTCCCCATTCTACAGAGGAGAAAATGAGGGACGGAGTGTAACTGTTCGAGGTCACCACCTGAGTGATGCGGCCGGGGTCAGAGTCCCTGCCCTACACCATCAACCCCTGTGTGAAGCTAAATACCCTACCCCACCCTCCTCGGGCCCCTGGCAGAAAGCTTGCCCTAATGCACACTTGGCACTCAAATCTACTTCTCCACTCTGCAACCTGAATTGGAACCTGGGTAATATTTCCTAAAACACCAAATCTGATCATATTACTGTGACCAGTCTGACAACATGCTCAGAAGCTGGCTCCAGTCTCTGAGCCCGTGTGCAACCTCTGATCCAGTCTCGTATTCTCTCCGACTCCAAATCCCACCCACACAGAACTACGGCACTTGCAGCTCATCACAACCGCTGCTAACTCCACCCCCTCTGCTCGACCCCCACTGTCTTAGTATTCAGCTTAAACATCATCTCCAAACTCTCACTGTACCCTGAACCCACCCTACTGCAGAATTCGTCATATTGTATATGATCGGTCACCTGCTTGGGCAATGACAAAAAGAAAGAATATTCTGGAAAAGGGGAACTAATAGGCAATGCAGGTGAAAAGAGGAGTATATGTGGTGTCAGCACACGGACCCACCAGGTTATTTTAAAAGTTGGGTAATGTACGTATGCACCTTCAAGTGACTTCACACACACAGATCCCTCCTGTCCTGATACGACCGCACAGAAAACCACAGGCTCTGCAGCAAGACACCTGGCTCTGGAATTTACTACAGTGTGATCATGGCAAGTTCCTTACCTTCTCTCCACTGCTTCCTTATTTAAAGAACAAGATAAAAGTAGGATATAGACTATAAGGATCCACTCATTTAAGACCTGACTCAGAGTCCCTCTCCTATGTGCCAGGCTCAGGCTGCACACTGGGGTTCTAGCAGGGACGGGAACATCATGGCTCCCAAGCTCTGGAAGCTAACACTCTAGAACATGAACAGGTAACTACACGTGTGTTAGGAAGGAGAAATGCATGGTGCCACAGGAGTGGAAGACATGTAGTGAATGTGCAGACAACCATGGGCTGGGGAGGTAGGGGTGTGACCACAACAGGATAACACAAGGGAGCAATTGTAATGATAGAACTGTTGTAGCCTGGTAGTGATTACATGAATCTATCTATCTATCTATCTATATATTAAAATTCATAAACTATACACCAAAAGAAACATACTGTATAATAATTTTTTAAATAAATAAAATGTATAGCACTATGTCCAGCATAGAAGCGAAACAAAAAAGCTAGAAGCAATAGTAATTCCTTAAACTCGCTATCCAATGGCTGGGTTCGGGGAGCATGAGCAGGCAAAGGGCTTAAGGACACCCTTACCCTGGGATGCCAAGATGCGCACATTAGCTCCTTACTTGTAACTCTATCCAATGGGATGCTCACCTTCCCCTCACTGGGTAGGTCACTTTTATTCTCCTTAAATTCTTTCCAACGGAAAAATCTAAATTCACAGTACATCTACTGAGTACCTACTGTGTTCATTCTCACCACACCACATTACATGGGCGTCATTATCCCATCTTGCCAATGGTTTAACGAGGGCACAGGCAGTTAAGCCGCTCTCTGGCATGTGGTAATATCAAGATTAGAACCCAGGCTTCAGATTCCAAGTTCAGGGATCTTTCCAATTTCCCAATACACACAACTTTGTGGAATTAATCTCCCTGGTTTCTGTGACTCCGTAGCCTTTAGGGCAGGGGTGGGCAACCTTTTGGTGAGTGTGTGCCAAAACCAGCAAAATCTCTGACTCAAAATTCTTCTGCATACCAACCCTAATTTTTTTGAGAACATGTTACGCCTACTTGATATCTCTTTAGGTGTATGTATGTGAAGAGCCTTGAAGAAATAATAAAATTTATTCGAGCGACAAAAACACAGTATATGATGATGAAAAATACTTTTATTTTTAATGTATACATGTACACTGATAGTCCAACAGAAAACTTTATGATGCCGTTTGATATTATCAGTGGGACTTTTGCTGCTGAGAGAAACAGAGAAATTTATTCCCTTTTCGTTAGTACAGGTGGGACCTCTGTGCTAATTTACTTTGTTGCTTACCAGAAGTTGCATACATGTCCTGGGCCATGAACTAACTGCTAAAACTTCTCTGCAGCGGCCCCGGATTAATCTCTGGTAGAATCAGAAAATGTCCCTGGGTCACCGGCCCAGGATGCAAGGTTCTACACCTGAAAAATCAACCCTTTAAATTCAGAGTCGCATACTCTAAACACAACAATTTTAAAATCACTAATATTATTTTAACAACCATTTACCTTGTTTTTGCTTCAGACAGCGTGAGTGGAAAGTGCACTCTACTTTGAGAAAAGCACGATTGAGCCCTTTCCTGACCTACCACATAATTAAATTTGACAGCCATCACGTATGCCTCACAGAAGAATGACTTTGAAGCAGTTCCCAGCCATACTGCAAATTATTTCACTTATAAACAGTACAGTCTTACTTGTAATTTGCAACACATACACGCATTCCCACCTCCTTCTAGGAATACACCTGCAGCCAAATAAAGAAAGATTCCAGAAGGTGACAAATTAAGAATTGAAAGTTTACAGTTTCTCCTTTAGGATTTCTCTACAGTAGGCTCAATGTCACATTCTCCTTTCTCACGTTCTAGAAACCGCTTTTTAATAATGTTGCATATTGCTTTTATCCTATTTTCATGATTACCTATAATGCCAGAACTTGAATTAATGAGTTTTAACTGGGGAAGAGCTTCTTGAGTATTTCAATAAATGTAAGATTGCTCCAAACAAATTTATCCACTGAACCGGGAGCTGAAATAAGTCCTGCAACAAGCAGTGTGTATCCATTTTGGCTCAGGTGAAATTACAGCACAGCTAACCAAGTATGTAAAAAATCAGTAGCCTAGCCCAGCCAGTGTGGCTCAGTGGTTTAGCGTCAACCTAGGAACCAGGAGGTCAAGGCTGGATTCCTGACCAGGGCACATGCTGGGGTT